TAGTCCTCAATTCTTTATATTCACATTTTAATTCTCGTTCGTCAGAGCTAGTGTTTGTTTTCTTCCTTTATAGCGCTTTTAACATTTGCTCCTTAAAAGAAATACAATGAAACAATGTGTTTCTGCTCTCACAGCTCTTTTTGCAGTGACCATTAGAGGCTTTAAGTAAATCCCCCCTTCATCTTCTAGACTGCTGTGCATATTGTGTGTGTGTGTGTGTGTGTCCATGCTTTCAGGAATGTCTGCTGGCCGGCCTTTTATTAGGCTCATCCATACCACCACATTATAGGCTCCCGTAACCAGGCAACTGCAGGTTCTGGTTGGTTACCATAGCGAGCTCCCATTGAGTGACGTCGCTGGCCCTATTTGCCCCTCTGCTCATTGGAATGAGGGCCTTGGGTGCACCCCCAACTCTCTCTCTCTACACACACACACACACACACACACACACACACACACACACACACACACACACACACACACACACACACACACACACACACACACACACACACACACACACACACACACACACACACACACACACACACACACACACACACACACACACACTTAACCCCTTACTCACACACACACACACACACACACACACACACACACACACACACACACATACACACACACACACACACATACACACACACACACACACACACACACACACACACACACACACACCCTGCGCCTTGTCACCCTCTGTGTGGTGGCTAGGGGAGTGGAACTAACAATCCCACAAAAACATCTGAGTGAAGCAGACCAGACTGGAGTGTCTTTGTGTTGAAAAACCCATACAGACCCAAAAATAGGAACACCTACTGTAGCACATCACACACATCATAGTATTTATAAAAACAATCTAACAAGTTGAAAAAAAACATAATCTCTCAGCACTGAAGCCCTGTGCATAAAAAAAACATGTTTTTCTTATAACAAAGGAGACTAATAAATAAGCAATTACTCAAATTTGCAAAGCGGGAAAACCAGCGTTTTTAATATTTGTAAATCAAAATGATTTAAACGGTTATTCAAATATTTGCCAATCATATTTTGTTGATCAACTTGAAGATGGAGTTTTCTCATTTTAGTTTCACAACCATAACAAGCTCGAGTTTGTTTCGTCAAACCATTATATAGAAGAAACATTCATGTTTAGGCCAAAACACAAGGCCTAAAAATGCTGAGGAAAGATTCATAAAAGCTATACTGAGTTTATGTGTCAGCAGATATATTACCACGACAACTGAGCAGACTGACCGCATTTTATGGTTGAAAGGTCTGGAAAATATTTGTTTTCAATTATTATGTTAAATTTGCATAAGGATGTCACTAAGAGTGGAATACAAATGATTAATTGTATTACAAGTTGTATTTCAAGTTTAAAGTATCACAAGTCACCCTCTCCCCTGACAGTGTTCAGACTTTGTGCATGGCCATATTTTCAACTCTTTACAGGACATATGACCTTCTAAGAATCTTAAGTGACCAGCAAAATAAGTATGGATAAGCTTTTGTAATCCAGTCACGTTCTTAAATCAGAGGACTGTTACTCACAGGCTTGTGTTGTTCTGTTATTCAGTCCTGTAGCTTAAGTATTTTGCCTTTATGTGAATAGTGGAAATCATCCCCATATATTAATACATATTGTGTCCAGAAGCAGCTGTGGATAAACTGATTGCTTAAATGTGATGGTGTGTGATCTTTTGTGTTGAAGCTATCCCAGCACCCAGATGGAGGGAGTTGGGGCTGTGCCAATGAATGAATGGAGTGACTTGCGGGAAGACGAATCCAGCAACTTCTCCATGGCTCTAATTTTGAACGCTCTTCATTGACTGCGCACGAGGAGGGGTGGGGGTTGTGCAGTATTGTGAGTTGAACAGCAGAGCCCCACTCTGGCTGAATGGGCATTGTCATCTGGATTTCTATGGCTAACCAAAATACTTTCTCCCGCCGTGGGGGTGTATGGATTCACGGTGGGAACGGCATGCATTACGCACAGCCGTGGAGCTCTCCTGCTCTACTCTGCACGCCATCACAACCCACTTGTCAGAATTTTTGTTTAAGAAAACACTTTAACTAAAGATTTCAGACAATATATTCAGTTTAATCTTAATAAAATGACACAATATTGCATCTTCATATACAATGATCATTACATCAGACGTCAACAAACCAACAGAAAAAACAGTTTATTCCTAGAATTTCTGAAAACAAAATTATTCCTGCAGTGACAAAGATGCAAAAACGTTGCAGGTTTTCAGTGCAGCCAAATAACGGACTGTAACATGTCATGTTTAACTCTACAGATCCCAGGCTGTCTGGAATATAAAGTCCAAAATTAGACTGTAGACTTAGGAACCGTCATAAACTTCTGAACAATACAAAACATCTGAGATGTATTAGGGCTTTACTATGTGTACACCTTTCTTCTTCGAACTTTATTGCTATTAGACATTGTTTTGAGTCCTCAACATGTCGGCGTAATTCAACTAAAGGAAATGGGTCTCTGACTGTGGGAGTGCAATCATTCTCAGTTACTGTACAAGTTTGTGCTGACAATGCACATAAAGGCAAAACAACAGTGTAAATATTCGATGGCAAAAGCTCCTCTAAAAAGAAAAAACTTTGCAGTTACAACGATAAACAACTGAAAACACTAATCATTTCGAAGACTTACAAAAGCAGGTACCTAACAAATATACTCCTTTTTGTCGTGAGCTACCTCTTGTAGTTGATAGTCTTTTTTGATCTTCTGTATAGATACAAAATAGGATTTATGAATATGTGGTCCGAGCGTATTGAAAGGCCAGTGTAAAAACAGCAGGTGTGCTTCCTTTGATTTTCAGAGTTCAGATTTCAAAAAATAAAAACTGCAGGTGAAAAGGTCCGTCAAAAAAAAGTTTTTCACAAGCTGCAGGTCACTTTCACGCACCGCCAGATATGAGTCAACCACTACACGTAATTCCTCTTATCATAGTCCCCCCCGTTCGGCGTGGCTCTCTTCGTGGTCGGTGCGTACTTTACCGAGTATCCGGAGTTGCTGCTGGAGGGGCAGGAGCAGCACAGCAGCGACCCCCCGATCAGCAGCATCGCTGAGGCAGCCCATCCGATGTAGAGCGCCGCGCCGATCTCCCTCTTCTTGGATGATGGCACCTGTGGGTTGTAAAAGTCTGATATGATGCTGTTGGCCATCCAGCAGAGAGGCACGAGCACAAATAGACCACTGACGATGAAGGTGACCCCTCCGGCGTTCACAACCCGGGCTTTCACGTACTCCCCCTGGATACAGTTGGTGCACTGCGCCCCCGCAATCACAACCATGAGCCCCAGCACGCCCATCACCGAGGAGATGACCGTGAGCGCTCTGGCCGCCTGCAGGTCGTGGGTAAGGGCGAGGAGGGAGTCGTGCATCTTGCACTGCATCTGGCCCGTACTCTGCACCACGCAGGTCATCCACAAGCCATCCCAGATTGTCTGAGCCACCACGATGTTGGCTTCGATGAAAGCCGTCACCTTCCACATGGGCAGCCCGCACGTAACCATCACCAGAAACGAGCCAAGTACGCACAGCGCTAGTCCCAGGATCTCCAGTCCAGCCGACACCATTTTTGCTCTTTACGTTTAGTCAATTATATCTGAAACTTTTCAAACTCTCACCTGCTATATCTTCTACAGAGCACAGTGTTTTTTTGCTCTTCTCTTCTCGTCTGGATTTACAAGAGCCTCAAACGTTAGTTGCGCATCACTCACCACATTTACTTGGAGATGTAAGAGACAGCAGCTTCGAGGCTCTTTGTTAGTGAGGGGATGTGAAAACAACTGGAATCACACAGTAGCACCGGACCTCGGATATCTGCGGGGTGGGGGTGCATGGACTTGAAGAGAAACTTTGCTCCAATCAGCTGTCGCCGCATCCCGAAGGGACCAATGAAAACGTAGGGAAGTTGTGAGGCTGAATAAAGAGGTCCAGAGCGCATTGTGCGTTTGAACAGTTATTTACAATGAATACAGGGGCAGTAGAGGGGGTGAGGACGCACGAGGGGTGTTGTAAGAGTATGGTGCAGCTGAAGCAGTGGGTGGGTGAATCATGGCACTTGTTATTGATTTTTCAGACAAGGAGGCTAATGCAGTTGTCTGCGGTATATTGCGACATGCATGATGGTGTTAATTGGCTGTCTTAGAATGCCAGAAAAGAAACAAGAAAAGAAAATCTCATATCTATTCTAAATGTATCAATTTTGATTTAAAGCAGTTTTTGATTATTTAGTTTTCTTGGTCCCTGCAGAAACATGTACACAAGCATTTGTTATAAGGTAAGGTGGAGGACATGCATGCACCACCCACCATAGAATAGTTTGCGAAATGTAGGCTAATGACTTTAATCCATGTAAACGCCTTATTATTCAAGTTTTATTTTATTATCAATTAATATATATTGTTGATATTTACCCTTATTTTAGATTTTGGAACCTTATAACGAACATTTCAAAAGTTCCTCATGCTTCTTTTTTGTATAGGTAGGCTACTGTCTGTAAACTAAAGAGAGACTTTCAAATAAATTAACTTTAAAGGAGATATAGCCTATTATCACCTGAAAGTAGAATAACGTGGCATTCAATGGAAATATTATAATACAAGGATAGCATTTTTTTTTAGCCTATAAATATTTACATTTTTAGGAATGGTACCTGTTTTCCACTATTATATAGCAGGTTATATAGGATGTCCAGTGGTTAATCAAATTGTAAATGGACTGTTTTATATCAAACAGTATAGGCCTACATTTAACATTTCACACGAACGCATGAGTCGACAGGGAAAACAACCCTTCACTGTTCGAATTGCTAAGAAACTGTATCACTCAGGCAGCCATGTTGGATCCACAAAGGGGTGGTGTTTGCTGCTCAGCCGTCCTGCAGGTTGAGCCGTAATGGCGTCAGTGGCGCAGCAGAGAGGCGTTGGAATGAAACGCTTGAGGGAGGAGGGTGGGCTCGCGGGGACGGTTTCCGGGTTTCCCTTCCTGGGCTGGGGCAGCAGCAAGAGGCAAAACGGCTCCTGTCGATTAACAATCATTCAAAGTTACGTTCAGGTAAGGCACTGCTCAGAGGTTTGTTTGTATTTGTGTTTGCTTTGTTGAACCCGTTTTAATGAGTCGGAGCAGGAGGAGAGGAAACACAGTAGTCAGTTGGCAACATGACACCATCGCGGTAACAACTGTTGCTAAAGTTTGACATGTAACGTGAACGAAGTTTCAGTGCTGTGTTACGCTCAAACTCGGTTTATCCAATTCGATTTCACAGAGCACTATTACAGTTTATTGATTTACGGTTTTAATCTGCATACGTACACATTATAATGTCATTGTCCCAGTTGATGTTTAGTGAACTCAGTCAGTGTTTGTTAGGCTGGGTGTGGTGGACATCCCAAACACAGGGCCTCACACACGTTTCGAACTCAGTGACTGAAGCATTGATTCATAAACTCCTCAATTATTTGACAAAATGTGCAAGTAAGTATTTCCTCCCGCTTCAATATTTCATAACAATGACGGTAGCAAAATAATTTTTTAAAAAACACTTCGTGCTTTTGACGTAGTTTATTTCCCCATTGAACTCCAGAGAAACCCTCTGCAAATCAATCGGCCTAAATGCTTTAAATCAACAGCACATTCAATCTACATTCACGTGCCCTTTGAAGCATTGACTTCCACACATTTCCTGTACATCTCTTCTTGTGTGACATTCCTGAACTCTAAAATCTCTTTCTAACATCTGATGAATCAGTGACCTTTGATTGTAAAGGGCAATATGTGCAAAACAAATGTTGTGTTTAGACAACTTCACAATAACAGTGGGAAACAATAACACATGTGTCTGTCTAAGAAATGGCGGAGGGCCACTATTGAAGAGTTATCGTCCATCTTTGCTTGTGTTTATGACTCAGTGAAAACATGCATATTTCACATCCTTTTTTGCCGAGTGGTGAATGCTATGGGCTCGATGGCCGACTGTGTTCGCTGTAATCTCAGGCTGGCAGCTATCCTCTTCTCTAGAAACAACTAGCTTTTTATCCAGCTGGACACAGACCAGTTTGCCATCAGAAGGGCAACATCTCTTAGTACTGAAAGATGTCTCAGGCCTCTGATCCAGCACCTTAACTGCTCTCTGACATTTCCCCATCCCACAACCTTATCTCGCTCACACTGGCCTGCACAGGAGTACTAGGGGAGACATGTGTCTGACACTATATACTACAAGGGGATGTTTCCTCCTGTTTCACACTGTGATGTGAATGGACAAACAAAACGTGTTTCACATTGACAGACCCTAGTGGACTTGAACTATTGACTCAGATTGCATTGTTTGAATAATGGTGTTCCACAGCCGGACATTTATGTTCACTTCAAAACACCAGGAGAAGAAACGCATATTCAAAATAACTTTGAGTCCCACAAGTAGCAGATTTATTGTGCTAACATAATATATATTGACATTTGATATACCTTCACCCACTCTGATGTAGTCATGGAAATATGTTGGCTCTCACTAAATAGGCATAATGAAGCCGTGATAATGTCGGTTTAGGGCTACAACTTACTTTTATCGTCATAATTGAATAATTTGTCATTACAAACAATGATGATATTATTGTTTATCTGTGGAAACTAAACTTAGAAATGGTTTATAGATATAATAAGTGTCTAAAGGAATTTCTGCTTCTGTGGAAAACATCAAATGAAACAAATCCAGCTATATTATTATATCAATGCAAAGAATCTGTAAATCCAAAATTACTGCAGTGGTCGGTGGTCCTGATCATTTAGTTCATTCATTTTCAACATTGTCCAATGTGTTGAACAGATATATATCTACTTTAATAAAAACAGTATGGATAAATCTCTTGCTGGAGAGAACTTTATTCTGACTCGCAAAATTATCTTATTGACCAACCTTAATATTCTTCTACAGATTAATCGTTTTGTATTTAAGATTAACGCAGTATTTTTTTTAAGAGGTGTCCATAAAAACACAGCCATGGTTTAAATTCTTTGTTTTATGTGACCAAGAGCCCTGAAACAAAATATATTAAAGATAGTTCTTATCATTAAGAAACTGGAACTAGATAATGTTTTGGCATTTCTGCTTAAAAAAACGACTTACTGTATACATACATATATTTAACTGTTCGGTCATTTGAGAGTTTCTTACTTCAAAATACATATATACAAAAATGCATTTTATATAACATTAAAGGCATTTGTGTTGTAATTCAAAACATGTCGTTCAATTTAGCTTTTATTTTTTCATTTGCAATATTCTCCCATTCAAATGCCTATTTACAAAACATAATTATACCATTCCCCTGCCAGAAACGGGCTTAGAGATTAAAAAAGTATATGACCTGCAGCTTTGCCCACACTACATTGTTAGTTTAACAATGAATTAAGAGTTTACTTTCACCTCAACCTCATCGTTCTGAACGGCAGCCAACAGTGTGAGTAGCTTTGTGTTGGTATAACATTTTGTTTCTGTATGACTCCCACTTGTTTTGAGTTATTTCCTCTCCTGTCCCCATCATCATAAACGCTCCATCCTGTGCTTTATTCTCTGTTTGTGTTATGGTCAGGCCTGCTGGTTTCCTCATGGACAAAAGAGTTTATTGTAGCTTTAACCTCATTGGGCTCATTTTATAAAGTTTTTCTAATATCCCAGCTTAAAAAAGAGTATCATTATTTTTCTTGCTCACAACCATTACCTTTGACCCCATACTTAATTACAGCCAAGCCCCCCTGTTTATGTGTTGCTGTATGTGTCTTCTTTACATGTGTCAACATAACCTTATTATGCTGAGAAGCTCTCAGTTCCCCGTTTCTTTGATCAGGTGCCAGTAAATTAACATTTTTGTTGTTGTGCCACCGAGTCAACTTAATCTCCATGGTATGAAATTATTGTTTCAATGTTCCATGGAAAGTGTGTGTAAGCACCCTTGACACAGCCTGTCAAGAAGGGGAATAGTTCCACCAGCACTGCGTCCCCTTCATGGCTTCACTTAAACCAATAAGTCAACTGTAAATGCATCACGTGCCGAGAACTTTGGCTGTATTAAGGTGGCATTTTTCCCTTTTGGCCCCAAACTGTTTAATCTCCCCCACGTCTGGCCCGTTGATTAGCTGTGTGTATGTGTGTGTAAGCAGCTCAGCTGCCCGGCCGATTAAATGGCCATTATTAAGAGCGTATTATTGAAATGTGCCTCCTGCCTGTCTGTCCTGTAGTGTTGTCTTTGTGATATTACAACTGCGATATTGGAAAGGTTTAATTAATCTGCCTCCCGGAATAATGCTGGTTCCCACAGAGCTTGTAGAGGAATAACACTTGGAGTGTGTATGATACACATGAATTCACCTGTGTGGGCTCGATACATTAAAGTAGAGGTTCCTTAATAATGAAAGCCAATTAATCATCCACACATTGTGTTTTTAGAGCTGAACTAAACGATTAAGCCAAACTATATCTTGTGGCTCTTGGGATGGTCAATTATCACTCTGCTCCAAACTCATCTTGTTATTTAGTGACACTGTGAGATGGACATTTCACTTTTTGGTTGGTTGATTGACATTTATGTTTTCTTAGATAAATGTCTACAACCTTTCAATAGTCTGCCATGACAATTGGTAAACGTGTTGATATTCCCCACAGAATGCATTTTGGTAACCTGGGTGAAAATGGTCGTGAAACATGGTAAACAATGAATCATAAATCTTAAAGAAAATATAACGAAATCTATCGATCATACTTTTTTGGAGACCATGTTTACATATTCCGATGTCTTGTGTGCTTTTACCCCCCCCTTCATTTGTTCAAAGGCCTTATAGCCTGTCTGTCTAACTGGATTCACCTTCAGACCTTTACAGTGCTACCCTGGCAAACCTTAACCCTATGTTATTGGTCTCTCGCCTTGCTGTCCTAACATGTGGTCGGACCTGATTCTGGTCAGGGGTGAGGCACGTGTTCTCCCTCCTCCCCAAGCTGAGCTGCCCTGTATTGGAAAGGCTTCAGGAACCAGAAGGATAAACAGCCATTGTTCTCCCTGGGGCTCGGTGAAACCACCCTGTCAGTATGAGAGATCTCTGCCCAATTTCATGTAGATACAGAGGGCCCCCCGACTACCATCTAATACATTTACCAGTGTGAGATGGTCCCCCAAATGTCCAAAACTGTGTGTTTGTTGCATTCCAATGGAAAAAGGTCAATCCAGATTCCCATGCCACCTCTTTTCCTCATTACAAAACCAGAGTGCATCTCCGTTTGGCAGCGCACGGCAGCCTGCCTCTTTCTAATGCTTATCACACTCCACCTGTCAAGAGCCAGTGTGCTGGTGATAAAATGGAGCCTGTTCTTCCTGCTCACTCATTATGGAGCTAATTTATCATGTTGGCTTGTTGCTCTGTCGTCTGCTCTGGGTCATAGAGTGGGGCATGAGCATAGGGTACATACATACAACAGTTAAATAGCAGTCCGGGAACACACTTGTTGCCCTAAGCTCTTAATCTGTCCTCCTTCCGTGAGATAGTGCTAAAGAACAGTGCAGTCGGCAGCCCCATCGTGGACTCAATGTACAGAGTTGGTACAACATAAATACTGTGACGTGGGGTTTGCTTTCGTGATGGTACTTCAAAAGTTGTAGGACAAACTGTGATTTTCTCGACTTGAAAAAACGTTGAAATATATAAAACGTAATAGCCCATTTAAACAGGTTAAAAGCAAGATTTTTCTCTTGCCGTTAACTACATTCATATTTCTTCCAGAAAAAAAGTTCCCTTTGTGGTCCACTGAAAGGGGAGGGACTTCAGCTCTCTTAATGGATGTCTTGAGGCATTTGTTAGCTTTATTACATCAAAACTTAACATTGCCAAATAAATGTGTCTACCTTGAATTGGAAAACGGTCAATAATATTTGAAAATCAAAAAGAAATGGGTGTAAAATGAACGAAGGAAGAAGAGCTAATCGTACCTTGTGTGTTTTGTAGAGCAGCAATGGCTGGTTTCACAAAAGATTTGCAACCATGTCATGACTTTGAGTGCTTATAGTGTTTTTTTCCTCTAAAGCTCTGATTAATTATACTTTAGATTAAACATCACTTCTTGATCTTGAATGAATTCTTGAGAAAGATTCTAATCAAATGCCAGGTATAAGGATTATTTTTTGTGATTGAGTGGGAAGGTACAAGGAACTGTTTTTAAGTTTATTCATCTGATTTCAATCACTCAACCATATCTCTTTATTTCACCAGCAGGCTTGTTGATCCAGTAAACAGCAGAGATGTCTCAGTCTGGAGAGAAAGGGAAGGTGAGTATCAGCCTGAAAATTCCCCACGGTTTTAAAACTAAACTATGACCAATCTACAGAGTGTTCAAGAGGGGTTTCTAATAAGGCAGAGGTGATTAAGACTCATGGAACTTGTAATCTCATGCACACACACTCACACAGGCATCCAGAGAGGAAATCCTGTATACACGTGTAAGTGTTTCACAGCTCGTCTTTATTGCCCGCAGGAATTTCTTAATGTGTATTTCCATCAATCTTACTCATATACACTCACTTACACCTTTCCTCACTTTAAAATACAATTTATAAAAATATCTGGGAGTGAGAGGAACAAGTAGTAAGACATAGAAATGACTAAACACTAATATTAAATACATATTGTGTAATTTATTCTGAGTTCTTAATATCACCAGTTCAATACTTCTGTATTAACTGCAGTGTTGATGATTTGTTTGTCGTTTCTTCTCCACAGTTCCCCGATGCAACAGGTTATGTTGGGTTTGCTAACCTCCCTAACCAAGTGCACCGGAAATCAGTGAAAAAAGGGTTTGAATTCACCCTAATGGTTGTAGGTGAGTGATCCCTTTTTTCATTTAATGTAGACTATATGACCTCTTTAGAGAATAGAGCTTAATTTTCCATTCTCTTTGTACTTCCAGGAGAGTCTGGCTTGGGGAAATCAACGCTTATAAACAGCCTGTTCCTCACTGATCTGTACCCCGAACGCTGCATCCCTGGTGCCGCAGGTAAACTCCCCACTACATACACATGCATACATATACACCAATATGCACACTGTAATATTAGAGAAATGTCTGCTGCAAAGTCTCCAGCAGCGCATTATTTCAAGAGGAATGTTGGGAATGCCTTAGTCTCAGAATACGACCCTGCCCTTCTTATGACTTGACTTGAGGTTAGGACTTGTTCTGGCTTGAAAACAATTACAGAGGCCCTCCCTGATCTTTTAGACGTCAAAACCTATGATTTCATTATTTAAGGTACTTTCCAGCTTCTTTAAGCCTGAGGTTGTGGCAGCTCAGCGGCTTGTGTTAGCACATAGCTCAGGCAGGCATTTTGGATGTCAATTTACCACTTGGGCACTGAGGTGTTTTCTCTGCTATGCCCCCATCGATTATTCTTTAATTCTACTTCACAGAGAAGATCGAGAGGACGGTGCAGATTGAGGCATCAACCGTGGAGATCGAGGAGAGAGGAGTGAAGCTTCGCCTCACAGTGGTTGACACCCCTGGATACGGCGATGCCATCAACAGCCAGGACTGGTGTGTTTATGTGCCGAGGAGGACTTGGGAGTGATTAAGACTCGTGAAATGTTTCCTGTCCAGCCTGCTCTCTCATCCTTCCCTCCTGTTCTTAACTACTTCCGTTCTCGAGTTTCACTTCAAACTCCCTATGTACTACCTCTCCTCCCTCTGCATTCCCTGTGTGTGTGTGTGTGTGTTTGCCCGTATGCCATTCTCCAGTGCCAGTTGCGTCAATGTAGCCTCTTTCCAAGAACCATTTCCTGTTTATTGTCCTGTACTTTTCTCAAGGCTACCCAAAAGAAAAATAGAAATAACAGAAAAAACATCCCCTTTGCACTCTGTAGTCAGAAAGTAGGAGAAATTCAGGGTTTTACTTTTGTAATTAAGGTCTTATATTACGGCAATCAAAGCAATTTGTGGCACAGATATCTTCCTTGATAGCCTTCAAAATGACGTGTATGATTTCCTTTTCTCTATTGTCATTCTCAGTGTTGATGTTAAAATTGTGTTTACATGGACATTTGGTGCAATTAAGGAGGTTTGCGTCTATTTTTCTACTTGTTTGTCTCTAATTGCAGCTTCAAGACCATCATCCAGTACATTGACAATCAGTTTGAGCGATACCTCCACGATGAGAGCGGGCTGAACCGAAGACACATTGTGGACAACAGGGTGCACTGCTGCTTCTACTTCATATCTCCATTTGGACACGGGTAAACAAACATACTCTCTGAGGGATATTATACCTACCCATCTGTGGTTTAATCGGGTCTATTCTGTACATTCAGAAAGACGAGAACTCTCCTAAAACAACTACAAGGCAAAACATCAGCATGTTGAATGATTGAAAATATAGCACTCTTGCTAACTAGTGTAGTTACACAATAACTATATTGTAGCTAGCAGTGGCTAGCCTAAACTTCCAACATTGAGAAACAATTATAACCGTTTTGTTCCTATCATTTTTACAATAGGCTATTTTCTCTTAACTGCAATTTCTGACCAAATGTACTTATTAAACTTAGCAGTGACTTTGGCTTTGTTTCCCATTCATTTAACACGACATAATTCAGTGTTATCACCTCACCTCAACATAATCTCCTTCTATGTCTGCTGTCCTCTGTTTTCCACGGTGTCCTTATTGTTCTTTGTCTGCATTGTGATATTTTTCTTCTTTAGTCTGAAGCCTCTGGATGTGGAGTTCATGAAGGCTATCCACAGCAAAGTAAACATTGTTCCAGTCATCGCCAAGGCTGACACACTGACACTGAGGGAGAGGGATCGCCTGAAGAGAAGGGTGAGTCTGATATGCACACACACCTGCACACAAACAATTTGGATCCAAATGGCTGTCCACTGTTTTCTAGGTGTAAGCATCTTTGCATTCAGAATTGATTCTTGGCACAAGGCGAAATCTGGAACGCCCAATTACTTGAATGTTTGAGACTTTTGAGGTGCCTTATGTGTTTGTTTTTGTCCCATCTGCAGTTATGTGGTTTAGTCATTAAACAGTGGATCACTGAATGATGCAGATGTACTTGAAATATCAAAATCACTTATTCATCCTTTTTGGCAGTGTGCTATGACACATCTTTGTTCATGTGAACAAACCCACGTCTACTTCCCTGTTTAATTACAGAGATTTATGTCTTCCACTTTGTGATACTGCAAAGTAGAGGGAGGGCTAACATAAGAGAGGAAACATTAGGAGGGACCTACATAGGAAAAGTGAGTTGTCTTTAATAGAGGCAGCACATCTCATCCAGACTCAACCCATCCCAGATACTTCCTGTTGGAAGTGACACAAGTGTCTACACACTCCTCAGCTTCCTAATGTCCAGCAGGGAAAGACACAATAGTGCAAAACAAGACACATGCACCTCACTGCAACCACTACTCTTCTCAACGCACAACTTTGAAAATTAGTTGAACACTAGATATGTGGTCTGGCTGAGTGTCTGCAGGCTGACTAGAGTCCAGCCCTCTGCCCTTTAGCAGGAGTCTTTGTTAGATGCTCCCACTGCCCCATTGTTTGGATCTGCTGATGCAGCATCTTGAGGAGACAGGATCAACCTTTCAGGACACACGTAGTGTTACTGAATTTCCTAAAACAAGATTGATGTGCTTCATTAGTGCAATCAAATACAGGAACTCTATCTATTCTGTTTATGCGCACGTATGCAAGTTGCTCCGACATCAAAGGGTCAATCTCTAAACTGCTTTGGCCTGAAGGGACCTGCCAGTTGAATTGTACTCTGTACAGTTGTTTTGTGATTTGACCTTCCTCAAACCTTCTGAGTGTTCCTCTGGCAAGATGAACAAAACCGTGTTTCCTGCAACCACTGACCTCCAATCTGCAGAAAACCCCCATGCTTGTTAACTCTACCTCAGCTGGCAGCGTGCAGTGGGTCAGCTGTCTTGATTATAGACATACCTTGATTTTGTTTATGTTTTTCAATCAAATCACTGATGCTGTAAAAACGTGGCCAATATCAGTGAATAGTAAACTCTAAAAGTGGGGCAGCTGAAATACTGTAACATTATCTCTCTGATCTGCCTTCTTTACTGTCCATAGCACTATCTGTTTAAAAGAGTTTGTTCACATGCTCCGCTAAGTGTTCCCCTAACAAACATTTCTACTGCACACTTAGGAGCTGCCCAGTTTAACAAAATGATCAAACTCACTTAAATAGGTCCACACACAAACACCCGCACACATCTATTTGTTTTCTATTCTAAGCAGTGAAAAAACATGTTTATTTCCAGATATACTGTAATGCAAAATAGTTTATATTTGTTTTAACTCTGTCTGATGATAGTGAATTCCTGGACAAGCGATTATTGCCAGGAAATGCAGAGGGTTAATTGAGCTATCTGCTTCACATTTAGAAACCACACCATGTGTCCCTTAGGAGGGCATATTATCTCCTGTTGGGGCACATTTTGGGGAATTTCTGACATAGACTTTCATCGGCTAGTTCACAACGTCACTTAAGTCTGGCCTTTGTCATCATTTTGATTGTCAGAGCCTTAGTGGCACAAATTACACACAGTGCTATTCATATTTTAATAATTCGAGTTCCTATAAAAAAACATGGGTTGACATCTGATTATTTAGACAATGTTAACTATTGAAAAATGTGCTCTTAGATTTCCGGCCCTTACTGATTTATCGCAGTAGTCTGATTTCTTGTGTGCATGTAAGAGCAGTCATTGTAAATAGTAAGTGTCATAGTAATGCTCATTAATCTCTTTAAGTGTCTCTCGAAACAACAAATGTATCATGCTCGACTATTTGTTGGTTCGATCAGATTAGTTGAAGTGGCTCTTAGGTATACGTGCCTGAGTCCGCCCATACAGTCCGGTACAGTCGAGCCTTCCTTTGAGGTCAGAGCTGCAGCCGCCAAGAAGCTGCCACTGAGTGCTGGAGGATGATTGATAACCCCCAGCCTTTCTCCCACAGTAGTTATTAGTGTTTTTTTTTTTTTGCACGGTACTTTCTCACCATTTCGAGCCATTTGTCTTAGTAAATTGGACCCCCACCCACCCCCCAGGTCTCTTAAGTATTGTCCAGTCTTTCTACTTTTTATGAGGGGGAAACGGCTTGTACAGAACAATATGAGTTTCCTGCAATGTGTCGAAACTGTTCCACTGACAAGACACAACTTGCTGCCCTGCGCAGCTCCGGCTCACGGACAAAGTTAACAAACCTCCCATCATTAAGCTTTCATCCCCTTTAGTTCTGCTCGCCTCTAGCCCGGTCCTTCCTCTCCTGGCAGTGCCTCACTCACCTCTTTCTTCCTCTGCGTCTTTGTGTCCTCTTTTTTTTTAATTTGCTCTAATGCCAATTTCCTCCGCTGGGGTGATGTGGACTCTAGCTCATAAGTTGCCCTGAGGAGGGTATATTGAGGGACTGATCCTCTCAGTCTGGAACCTTACAGTCATATCCTGTGCAGGGCTTTAGCCTCAAACTGCATCACTGGGTGTTTTCTGTTTGAACCCAGAGGACCAAACACAGCTGGTTTGAACTGGAATCCTGATGAAAGCAAAAAAACGCAAAAATGCCTCCTTTTGTCTGAACAGGAGAGTGCTTTTGTGTCGTGTTTTCCTGCATATGATGTGATTAGTCAATTGAAAATGATTCTGTACTCTCATTTCATTCCTTTTTTGTGTCAAGATTTCTCAGTTTCAGCTTCTCAAATATGAAGATTTGCTGCTATTGTTGACTTTTGTGTTTGTTGAGTGAACAACTTGACACAGTCAGACAGGACAAAACGTTGTACTCTAGGAAATTAGGATGGAATGATAAACGGAGAATATAATAATGCAACTATCAGCAATAATGTACAGAATATATTGTGAAAACCCTTTCTTATTAGATAAGCTGTAGGAAAGTTGTGTTGAACTTCTTTAGTAATGAGGAAAGGTTAGCAGAAGTATTTTAGCCACCAATGTTGACATCAATTTATGTGATATCTCAGAGGTCAGCAGTGTCTGGAGAACCCTGTTGCTCCTCTTCTTCTTGCACCAGGCTGCAGACAATAGATCAGCCTCTTTTCCTCCCTCCACTCCCCTCTCTCTTCCTCCCTTATGTCTGCCCTGGTCACCCTTCTCCTTACCTCTCACAGCCTGTTGTCCCTCCCTGTTTATCTCTGCTCTCATGTGTGCCATGCAGATCCCTCCCTCATGTTTGCCTCGTCAGCTGCTATATTTCATCCCCAGCCAAGGCTCTATCACAGTTTCCCCCTCATTGTCTGACTCTCTGTCTTCTCTCACTGCCCTCCACCATACTCCTGCTGTGTGAACCAGCTCTACGCCCCCGCTGGGACACATTCATCAGTTTAGACTCCTCGTACCGGCCTGTATTGTCACCAGGTTTCCTTAAAAAGCAATAACAGAAAGTGAACATTGAGTTGAGCTAGAGAAAAATAATTATGATGCATTTTAAGTGTGTGGTGTGTGTGTGTGTGGTGGTGTGTAGTGTGTGTGTGTGTGTGTGTGTGTGTGTGTGTGTGTGTGTGTGTGTGTGTGTGTGTGTGTGTGTGTGGTGTGTGTGTGTGTGTGTGTGTGTGTGTGTGTGTGTGTGTGTGTGTGTGTGTGTGTGTGTGTGTGTGTGTGTGTGTGTGTGTGTGTGTGGTGTGTGGTGTGTGTGGTGTGTGTGTGTGTGTGTGTGTGTGTGTGTGTGTGTGTGTGTGTGTGTGTGTGTGTGTGTGTGTGTGTGTGTGTGTGTGTGTGTGTACCCCCCTGTAAATCTGGAATAACTTTGTGAAGGGACCTTTCTAAACATTTACAAAACCCTGCTGTCAATAGAAGCGCGCCCATGCCCTTTTCCTGCCAGTGTTTCAAACACGCGGATATATTTATTTTCCTGCCCCCCAGCAGTCATTGTGCCAGGGCATGCTCCAAGTCTCAGCGGATTTTAAAACAATAAATATGAGTTTTTCCTCAGCTCTATTACACACAATCATCTGTTCTCAAGTGAAGAAAGTACAAGCTGGCCACAGTGGGAAAACAGCAGGTTTCCTTGTTAGCGGGCCAACCTGAAAAGATGGCTTCCGGACTGTGCCGTGCTGCTAATGAGTCACTTTTTGCTCTTGAGTTGGCCATTGAGACCCTTTTGATTACCAGACCGAGTCACTAAAGCCTGATGTGTGGTTGAAATCCTAAACTCACAGTGTCCCCTTGTAAATCTCACTAAGATACAAGATTACATGAATAGCTCAATTGTTCCTCCCCATGCTCCTTGATCAGAGGGAGAGGTGGGTGGTCTTAACTGTACTAATACTTAGCCCAGACAATAGGTATGTGTGTGTGTGTGTTCATGCAAGTGTGTTGTTCACCATAACTCGTATGATGCCTGAGCGTTGCCATGGTTTTGCTTACTTCCTCTGTACTTTCCGTCAGTGCCTCCAGTCTCTGGCTGTTCCAGTCTGGACCCTGAGTCTCAGACTGACTGAATAATATATCTGGATTGTGTTTCTGTGCATGAAGGCAAGAGACTTTAATCCTGCTAACAGGAAAGTATTGTTTTCCCGTATGCTGCTGCGTGTGTGAGTCTTTATTGTATGAGAACTTTTAGAAGGATTTGCCATGTAGATGTTTTGTAGAACATCCTCTATCTGCGGTGATCCACCGGCCTCCTGGAGCTACAAAGCTCCGGACATGTAGCATGTAAACTGTTCTCATACCCCCAACGGCAGATTATACCAGTTCACAAAGTGAGGCAACTGTTATATTTATGTGAAAGTGTGTTTGTGTATGTGTCTGGGAGGCTGGTATGAGGTCTAAATCCCTCGGACCCCCTCTGATCAGGTATTGTTGGGCTCTCTCACCCCCTCAGACTCCCTGCAGGCAGGAGAGAGCCGGTTACTTGAAAGGCGTTTCCTGGCAAGAGAGAAGCATTTGTTCTGGTGTCTTAAAGTTAGCAAGTTTGGAAACTAAAGAATAGACGTAGGAATCAGCTTTTTCTTTTCATGTTGCAAACCTCTTTTACTTGTCTTTTAATCTTGTAATTGGGGTATGTAATATGTTTTGTTAACAATATTAATTACAGTGACACACAGCTCAGATCTCTTCACTCAGGGTAAATATTTATAGTTCTTTATAGATTCTCTTAAAAACCATGTAGAATAGAATTGGGAGGGATGAACCCTCTTTAATGGTCACACATGCAGAGCACACACCATACAGTGACATGTGTTCTCTGCGTTTAACCCATGCTAGTACCAGGAGTCTAGTACTAGGAGCAGTGAAGCTCTGTATGAGAAACCGTCTGAATTGTTTTTTAAAGAGTCTTATTGGAGCAACCTCAATACTTGAAGACTTTCTACCAGTCTAGACTGAGATCTATGACTGGAGATGTTGGTACTTGCCACAGTGTTATCATTCTTTATCAAAAGGTGTTCTTGCCCTTTATGTGAGAAGAGTTTGTATTGCGAACAAGGACAAAATGGACAAAACACTTTTACAGCATAAATGTCTCACTGGAGCGATGTTGAATACTGAGGATGATGACATTTCTTACTTCATTGTTTAACCGTTCAGAGATTTCTGTGTCTATGAAATGGATTTAAAATGTGCAAAGTAATCAGTAAATGTATTAAGTGATAAGTAGACGCATAGTTGGTTCAACAGGAGTCTAATAAGGAATAGAGGCACCCAGCAGAACGGATTTCACGCTCACCATGGCCAGGATTTTCCTTTAATAAACTCTCCAGTCTTGGAAAAAGAGGGCCCCTTCCCTTAAGGGGTTTTGTCTGTATGAAACCAGGTTTAAAAGCGACTGAAAGCTGATCAGATCTACTATTTCTAATGGCAATGATGCCCAGTTTCATTCCCATGGACACTCTGCAGAAGCTGGCAGTCAGCTGTGAGGTTACATAACCGTTACGTCAACGTGCTGCTGCTCTAGTCCTGATCCTTGCTCTTCCCAATCAGGGTTGATTAGTGTGGTGATGCAGTTTCATTGTTTTGTTTTGTGTGTGTCCTGAGAATGCTCTGGTACATGTTTCTACTTCCAAGTATTGTTCCCTGTTTAAGTTTAATGGATACAACACCATGCCAGGCCAGAGGAGGCTCAGCTCTGACGACCTCAACAGTCACACTGCAACTGTATTATTGGGAGTGTGTTTTTGTGCATGTGGTTTGTCAGCGCTGCAGGTCTCACCACAATCCTCTCTTTTGTCTCTTTGCTCTTTTTCTTAAGCATTCATTTGTTTTGTGCCATTGTTGTTTTGTCCAGAATCCATGGGTCATTGCTTAGAAGCTGTTGAGTCATACATATTTTGGTGGGTTTGCTTGTGAGAATGAACTAATCTTGAAGACATTATTTCCACGACAGGTAGATGTGATGAAACGGTTTATCCCATAATGATGGGTTTGCACCCCGTTTCATTATGATTGGTGGTTTTGGTTAAACTTGCTGTGCATTTGATGAAAAACTGCTTAGCCACGTCTCTCACGACTTCACCCTGTGTAATTATATCTATGTATAGACCTGCGGGTACACTATATTTGGGCTACACGTCACCACTGCAGTATATTTAATACTGGTATTCCTAGAATTGAACAAGCTTAACTAACTTCTAATCTATTTTCTAGCTGTACAACATCAGGTTCCACTGCTCTGACGTATCATAACTGCCCCAAATGTCGAAATAATTTCCAAAAACAATTTACATTTAGAAATGTGAGCCAGAAACATGAGGCGATAAATCTTAGGCTTCCTTTTCTAATTAAGACTGAGGCAGAGTCTTGTGTGGCATTGTTTGTCCACCGCCCTACAGCATTGAGGGGGCCTGCACGGCCAACCATAACAGCAGAGGGCGGGGGTGGGGGGGTGTATTATAACTGGACAGGATGGTCATAAAATCTAAATGGCTCCCACTGCCAACATCTCTGTGCCAACAAAATTACACAATTCTGAGGGGTAGGTAGGTGGAACATTAGGGATTACTGCCTACATTGTGCGCAGTAAATCAACAGGAGACAACAGGGATTTGGAACAGGCTGAGATGATGCCTGAGAGGTTTGATTATAGGTGTCAGGCTGTACTAAGCACATGTTAGGAACAGAATAAGTCCAGGTAAACAGCCATTTTAAAGCTTTTGGTTTACCAAAGTCTGGAAACAGATGATGGCAGACAATAGACTCCTGTTTGGGTGATGACCATATTACAGTGTGGTTTGCATTCATTCAATGGTACATGGCCTTTGCTTTTATCCCTCTTTTATTACCTTTTTGAGTTTCTCTCTACCTTATCTACTTGTTTGTTTCATTTTTTCCTGCCATTGTGTCCCGCGTGTTTATTTTCCCACTGAATTCAGAGTTTCCCAAAATTCTTCGTGCTCTGCCCCACCAGAGCGATGTTTATTCAGCCTCCCTGTTCGACAGATCCGTAAATGGTTTGAGTGACTGAGGGAAGAAAGAGACTCTGGTCCTGAGTCACGCTTTCTTATGACTCCTGCAAAGTCTGTTTGTTTTCAGATCTGCCCCACAACAATACCCGAGACCCCCGCACACACACTATCTCGCACACACTGCGCACAGAGCTCACTGAGAAAACAAGCGGCAGCCATAACAAGGGCTCAAACAGGACCTGTAGGAAAACCTGCGCTCACTTCCCAGGCTCCTGGCTCACGGACCACTGTCCTTTTATACATTACAGAACATGAAAGTCCCCAAAAAGTCAGGAAAACACATTTGACATTTTTTGGCTCCATTACATAAGACCACATTGTGGATTTAAAAAACCTGCTCTCGAGAAAACAAAAGAAAAATGCAGCTTTGATGTTTAGAATAATAAATACTGACATCTGTCCCAGAGGTAGCGGGGAAGAAAGCTCCTTTGTCTTAACTTGTTTCTTCACCGGTCAGCCTCTAAATAAAGGAGGGTGAGAACTTAGTTTCTGACCCTTGAACACGCAGACCTGGTATTATTTTTTGCCTGTCTAACCGTTCTGTCTCAAGCCTCTTTTTCTCCATGGGGGGCTTTAATTAAATGCGTTGCTGCAACAACTGCTCCTCACTCATACCCTCCTATTAGTCTATACAGCTCTCTTACTTTCTGTTTGTGGTCTACAGTGGCAGCTGTTATTTAGTCCACATGACTCAGTTTACAGTGAATACACACATTATATATGGATTTAGATGTATTACGGACACCTGTGCCATGCTGGAATTGGCTGTAGCTTTCAGTGACTTTAAGTAGTCTATTAATATGTATGATAAAACTCTTAAGTACATACACTAACAGTACAAGTATAAGAACAGGTATATTATGGATGAGTATCTGAAAAAAGAAATACTATATATATATATTATGAGCATATACTGCATAAGAATCAAGCATGCAAATGAAATTCAATGGTAACAAAAAAGTTTATTGAAAGATATTTTAAACAAGAAAAGTCTAATTTGATTGTTTCTTAAATGGCTCCCTAGATCCTTGGTTTCTGGACTACAAATTGAGAATAGAAGAGTGAAGTTGCCCCTCTTGTAGTGCCTGCAATGACAGGAGCACGTCATCGGGTCACGATGAAGTCACAACATGCCCACTCACCCGATGTTTCTCTTTTTTCTACCGCTCAGATCCTGGATGAGATTGCAGAGCACGGGATCAGAATCTATCAGCTACCTGATGCCGACTCTGACGAGGATGAAGAGTTTAAAGAGCAGACCAGAGTCCTGAAGGTGAGAAAGGGATACACAGCTGTTGGCTGATACACAACCACAGACACTTTTCTCTGCTAATGTATTGATGGATACCATTCTCCTCCTCATAAACCTCACTTCCCTTCACTAACTCTGACACCTTTTATTTTCCATATCTCTTCATCTGATTCTCTCTGGGCGCCTCGAACCGTTATCTTCTCCACCCAGGCGAGCATTCCCTTTGCTGTGATTGGCTCCAACCAGCTGATTGAGGTGAAGGGGAAGAAGATCCGCGGTCGTCTCTACCCCTGGGGAGTTGTTGAAGTGGAGAACCCCGATCACAATGACTTCCTCAAACTGCGCACCATGCTTGTGTGAGTCTCCCTGGCAATAAAACGTGTTAAGTAATAGGATTTTCGGAAGGAAAGTCTTTTTAAAACCTCGACAAAACTTCATCCGCATTAAGCGGTTTGTAAATGGCACTGAAGAAAATCGAACAGGGGAGCTCTACTGCCTCCCAGTGTATGAAGAAATGATTGCATGTTTGTGTGTTTGTTGCAGCACCCACATGCAAGACCTGCAGGAGGTCACTCAGGATCTGCATTATGAGAACTTCCGCTCAGAGAGGCTGAAGACATCGGGAAAGTGAGTAGCTGATTCATTTCATGTAAACTGCACATGAGCTGCTCTATTAGTTCAGAGTTTTAGCTAACATGTTTGGTTTCTCTGCAGGGCTGCGGATGAGGATGAGGTGGACAAAGACCAGATCCTGCTACAGAAAGAGGCCGAGGTAAGAACACACACAGCTTCTCAGGTCACTTTGTGCTTAACAATTGCTTTGCTTGATCTAAAAACAAGTGGATGGCTGTCCGTTCACATATTGCAAACTCCTAAAACTGATCACAGGACACATTTTTCTAAGGATTATAATACATAATCACATGAATGTATGTATGTTAAATAGGGAGCTGTTAGTTAGTATTAAGTTGTGTTTGTCACCTGAACTAACCCTTTTTGAAAACTTGGTAATATTGCTGCATTCACTGCTAAATGACTGTTACTAATGGAAGGTGATCCTAGCACCAGTATTTATTTGGCTTCAACTTGCAAATCCACCATAAAATATCCTTGTTAATTAACCGTATGCCGCTGTCAGTGTACATAGGAGTTTAGTATGAAGAATCATCCTTTAAAAACACAGGACCTGGTTACCTGGTGCCGTATGTAGTGAAGTGTAAATATAGACTCACTCCGACTGTAGGAAATCTGCCTTGTCATCTTTTCCATTTCGTCATTATACGTTTATGTCCAGGGGTGCATATAACTGGTGTGCAGGTACGCATGCGCGACAACAATCTGAAATGCGTACCGTCACGTACTTGTGAAGCTTTTCCAGAAGGCGGTTAGATCACCGGACAACAGAGTTGGTCTCCGTGTGCACAGACAGGGCTGCTGTTAACGTCGGTCTGTACAACGGAATTGTGCCAAAACTACGCCAACCGGCTGCGGAGGGAGACTCCCCCCCCCCTTCACTGGAGAACTGCGCTAAAACAGCTGATCACAACGTTCACACTCTGTGGTCACGAAGTACTCCACTAGCCCCCCCCCCGGTCGACTTTCCTGAAGTAGCCTACTCCACTAGTTGCGTTGGTGTGAATGAGGTAACAGAGGGCTTCATCAAATCACTTTGAGTGGAGCCAGAAGTTGGAGTACCAAACACTGACTCCAGGTACTCATCTGAGTACCTCACTGAGAAAGTTATATGCACCCATGTTTACGTCCCTAGTTTTACTGGCTTTAATTTATTTTGCAACTCGTATGTTCGAAAGAGAAAAAAGTCCTACTTACTTCCACTTCACTATCTCCCATATGTTTTGTTTACATTGTTGTGCCATGGAGCCTGCATGCCACCAGACAATAACCTGTTCCCTGATTGTTCCTGATTGGCCTGTTTGTGTTGCTGCTGCTGCTGCTGCTGCTCCATAGTGAGCGGGTGGGGTCCAATCAGATCTGTTTGTAAACAATGTGCCCAGGCAGGATATGCCATCACTTCCTGTCGGGATGTCCTGGCCTGTTTAAATGGTGGGAATGACCTCAGTTATGTGAAGAGTCGGAAACACGCATCTACAGAGACAGTGGTCCATTTGTTGATGTGTTTTCAGGGTTTGAAGGGAGGAGAGATTACATTAACTGATGTTACTGTGCTTCTATATAAAGGATGGAGCTATTTAATTTGGATTTATTATATAAAAAGAAGTAGTAGACAAGTGTTACGCTTTCATTTAATTAATTGAAATAAATGGTGTGTGGTATTGCATTACATTACATGTCATTTGTTAGACGCTTTTATCCAAAGCGACTTACATACATTCAGTACTGTAGACAATCCCCACAGGAGCCATTTGGGGTGAAGTGTCTTGCCCAGAGACTTGCCTGTGCATGTAAGCTGTCAAATGTGTCTCCCTGTGTACATTTGAATTGGAATCATATCAAAAAAAATGCTACGAGTGAAGTTTATTATGAAAAATACCAAGTTTCCCAGTTTTTAATATTTTAGTAGTTTTGTTAAAAATAGAAAGAAAACCCACTAATTATTAAGAAATTAAAAGAGCCTTTAATTAAGCTTGACCCTTGATTACTTTGAATACCTATTACATGAGTAATCTTATATTATTTACATTAAAGCTGTAGTTTTTACAAGTAAAATAAATAAACCTCTGAAGATGATTAGGCGGTTCTGTTCTCTACCACAAGATGGCGCTATACATCAGTGAGTGTTTTTATTTAACCCCATGCATCATGATCGTTTTAAAAGCTTTACATCAGTTACAGTGTTCTATTTAGAACAATCACTTATTTATGAGCCAATTGCTTTTATTTATTTGCTTTTACTCTGTAACTCGGGATTGGACATTTGTTTTCCAACGATTATTTATTTATTGTTTGACATTGATTTTATGCTTCATTCATTTTTAAACACGTATTAATTACCTATCACGTCCACTTTCTGATATAAATATAGATTTGCCTCTTGATTTAATTTAGATTTCAGGTTACTCTGTATTTTGAAAATCTCAACTATAACACTTTGTCCATGTGATATTAATTTTCCTTTTGTCTTTAATTGCCAAGTGTTGTTGTTTTTGCACCAGTCAGCAAGCATATGTTTCTATGTTTGTCTTTGTATAGATTGCACTTCCTTTGTTTGTTTGTTCAGTTATTGTGGTTTGCCTTCAGACGTGGCTGGACGACATGTACTAAAACTCAGAATCATACTGGTCCTTTAAAAACACAGACATCTGACTGGTTAAATCTTGAAGAGCAAATTCATATTCACCCTAACTGTTGAAATTGTAAAGCACTTTAATGAACTATTCTACTACTTGGTCTTGAGGAGTTGACATTTTCTTTTTCAGTTTTACTTTAAAGACACACACAAGGTCTGAAATGATCATCAACTCGTAGTTCTAAAGTAAAACTGCAAGATTTAATCGGCAGACTTCTGTGTTTTAGCTTTCTTTGTTTAAATATGTTTTGAGAGAATCAATACATGAAGTAAAGGAACAACATTTAAATCTATTGATGTGAAAATGATAATGGGTTCCTGAAAATAAAAACAAAATGTTTGTGTTTCTTGTCTTTCTGTAGCTGAGACGCATGCAGCAGATGATCGCTCAGATGCAGGCACAGATGAAGATGAAATCAGACGAGTGAAAGAGTTGCAGCAGAAGGGAAACACACTGATCCCAACCCTCCCACACACACACAATTATATACGTATATACACACACCTCTCTAAATCCATCCCTGCCTGCTGTCGCGCTGCAGATCCACAGAGAGCAAATATCTAGGATCATCATTTTTGTAAGCACACCTCTTTCCCTTCTCTTGCTCTTCTTCTTGTTCCCTCCAAACGTCCGTCATTATAATGAATATATCTACTATTTAGTCTTTGATTCTATGAATAACTCCACCAAGCCGCGAGTGACAATGGTACTAAGAGTTTTTGCCAACACACTATCATGTTTACAAAAGTATGTATGAATTATGCATTTCGCTCAAGTCCAAGCTTCAGATGGCATAATATTCCATTTTGTTATCAGGGTAAGACTGTTTTGAACGTATTTAACTGACCATTTAGTAAAGCTGTTTGCAACTCATATTCATTTTAGAGTGATCATGAGTGAATCAGTAGCCTCTCGATAGGTTCAGTGCCTTGATTGCGTCTGATAATGCAATAACTATAAATATTACTACATTTTCAGATAAGTGTGTTTATAAATGAGGTTTACTGTCTATGCAGAGAATGAGAAATGCTTTCTTCTTAATTGTTTTCAACTTTTGTAGCCAACGTTACACACCTACTTCTAAAGTTTACTTTGCTTTAGGCTGGAAATCTACTATATGCAAGTAACCAAACTAATTGAGTTAGAATAAGAAACACCACGGCTTTAGGATCATGTTATAGCTGAAGTAAAATGCCATGTTGTTAATATTTTTGTATTTATTATCAAGAGATGCAGGATCTTTAAAGTCAGTGCCAAACTACAGACTGTTCTTACACTATTCACTCCGGTAACTTAATGTGTGCATATTTGCTTCAGTGATGTCATTTAATGTGTGAACATATTATTTGTACGCTACATGTGCAGCCTTCCATCACTCTGTATTTTGGCTGTCCAATTTTAAATCAAGTACTTAATATCAACTTACTTAAAATGTACCTCTTATGTGTGTAAACACCTTTTGTTTAGCAGTGCCGTCTAACTGTGCTTTGATTGATCTGATGTTGGCATTATTGTTTTTTCCAGTCTATTGCTCTTATATACAAATCTGTCTATTGAATATTATTTTAAACACACATACCTGCTATATCTTAACTATATCTCAGTATAGACTTGTTTTTAAGACGTAAACATGTTTTTGTATTTCTCTCTTGAATACATTTGTTAAGAGAATAAAAAGTTGACACTTGTGAAATCTGGAGTAACTTGTGAATTATGTTTTTATTTAAAGGTTTGGTATTTTATTGTTAATAGTGGGTTTGTTAAAAGTAAAAATGGACTTGATCAGTGATTCGAATTGACTCATGGGCACAGTGACTTCTGCTCATGAGTTTATTTCTGGTGTTTTTGACTTGAGATTTCACGAGGTGGAAAAATAAGTATTTAGCATTAATTTGTTGGCATGTTTTCATTGATTTTCTTAAAGTCTGGGAGTTACCAAAATATGTTATAACATAAGTTATGTAACATAAGTCTACATTAAAAGGCTACGTAGTGATTGTGTTGAGGCAAAAGCCTTCGCCACTCGCCAGGGTGTATTAACGTAAATAGTAATGCTTCATTAGACTTTAACTAACCACTGCTTTTATTATTGATTGTGTTGATTATATTCCCTATGACTTGTTGGGTTTATACATTTTAGAAAATAGCGAAGTCCAAAGTGTCCAAGGTAAGTCTGTAATGTCTTGTACTGTGAGTCCAAACATATTCAGCTTAATAAGCATGACAAAGCATAAAACAGCATGAAAAACGAATTGTATTAAATAATTTGAAAATAGTTTGACTTATCCTTGCAGCACTTCCCTTCAATATAAACAATTGCTAAGGGAAGTTAAGTGTTGAATCTGTAGGTTTATCTGACAGGATTATTTAATTGTGTATCCAATGATAGTGGAAACACCTTTTGGCCAATGATTTGTCAGAATTTTCACTTACAATTTCTTGGAAAACATGTCATTGATAATCATTCACATTTTTGGACGGATTGTTGAATTTGTTTATATGATAATTGAACACTGTACAAAACCTGTCTTGGACACCGGAAAGAAGTTATGGATGGCTGTCAGCGAGGTTGGTTTGGACACATCTATGGATGAACATGTGTTTAGAGAACCCTCAGCCCCTCGTGGCATCCTTTAGGACCCCTGCTTGTAGTACCAATTGTATAAATATCCATGAAGTAGGACCCCTGCCTGCAGTGTGATTGGCTGTATGTGTGGAGGAGGAGGGGCTTGCATCTGTCAGCTAGCCCCGCCCTCCTGCTGTCTGTCCGGGCTTTGGAGGCGAGGCGAGGGGCAGCGTTCTGTCAGCCGTTGCTTCGGTAAAATCGAGGAGGAGAGCGGGCAACATGTCGAGCAACATCAGGTACAAGAGCCGGATCCCGGTGAAAACAGGAGGTGAGCATGTTTTTCTGGGTTATATATACAGCCATGTGTTTATGAGAGTCTGTGCACTGACTGCTTCATGTTTCTGTCTCCCTGGGCGTCGCTCTGCATCCCTGCACCTGCCTCCCTCCTCATCCATCCCGTTATGTCCAACAGAGGAAACCGCCGAGGTAAGAGACATCTTTTATATGATTATATTTAGATTTGAGATTTGCTGTTTAATATCGTGCGTTGTGAGCATTCAGCGTCTCCCGGGACGTCCTCGGTTGCATTAGCATCAGCAATATTTACGTTTCAGGTCGCATGCACTACTCGGTGTTTTTCGCTCCCCGATGTGTAGGTTTGCCTGTCAGTTGTGTAAGCGCAGATGCTCTGAGGGTAGCCATGCCATCACAGGCTGCTCTGTGATGATGTGTGATCACCATGTGTGGCTCTGGGGGGGGGGGTTCATTTTTAGAAGCATATGTGGAGCAGGCCGGAAGCCAACATGTTAACCAAATGGCAGCATCCTTCCTCTCCATCTTTCTCGTTATTTGCGATCATATAGGACATTAAGTCGACTGATGGACTGACCTGATTATGACGTGGTATCAGCTCGGCTCCTGCCTACAGAGTGAACCTTGCTCACCATTGTTCTGCTCAGAAACACAGCTGTCACACGACGAGCCTGTAGGGGAGGTTGCATTGATGACCCGGGGCCTTCCTCCTCCTCCCCCTCTTCCCTTTGCATATAGTGTCTGATGACAGTATAAGGCCATGTGCACGTGCTGAGTCAGTGTGCTTGGATGATTCAGCTAACCTGATAGTTAACAGATTTAAAAACACGTCCTTCAACAACCTGGTTCAGATTCAGAATACTTTATTGTCCATTACATTTACATATAATGGTAATTTGTCTTTTGCACTGGAAAATAGGATAAAATAACACTCAACATACACCGTACTTAACATACAATTCTGACACACAAAATTAGAGAAATTGCAACTTAAATTGACTAAATGGCAGTAAAAGTGCAGAGTGGTTTGTTCTTCCACTGGAATGGGTCCATTAAAGTATCAGCTGTATTCATTGTAAATAATTGACTATAACATTACAATTAGGTGATGGGATTGGTGGTAGAATGTCCTAAGAATGATCCTTGAAGTTTGAAAAGGGGGCTCAAGTTGAGTCAAGGTATATATATTGTGTCTGGATTTCTCATGGTCCTTTTATCTGGCCATAGGGACCTTCAGTCTGAGGCCTGATGGTGGCAGCGTGAATGCTGGGTTGAGGGGATGGGTGGGGTCGTTGTGTATCTCGATTGCCTTCTTGGTTGTGAATTGATAAACAGATCGTGCAATTCTTTTTCAAATGAGCATGAAGCACCACAAAGCTAAAAAGCATCAGGGGTTGTAATAACAAATGTGATATATTCTATATGATGGTATTTAACACGTTAGTTAAGGATCAACTGTAAAGTCTACATTAAGTAACAAAATAGCAAAAAGCAGCCTTTTGCTTTAGTGAATTGGTTGGTCACTTAAACAATAATGTTCAGTTATCAATAATTGTCCAAGGGATGCACATAGAATCTTGATCCTTAACTTCCTAAAACATATATATTTTACCCACAAATGATTCCCATCTTCATATTTGTCTAACACACACACAACCTGGATTAATATGATTGTTTCAGAGACCTACCTAAAATTATAATCAATCGGTATAAATGTCTTAACACTCCTAAATGTGTAATGATTAATTTATGCCCAGTATTTTCATTACTACAGTTTTTACACCTTGTGAGTTTTTCTTCTTGGCTTTCAGCCGCTCTTCACTCCCACATACTGCATCTGATACTTGTGTATCATCCAGGCTGCGGAGGAGGACAACAAAATACTAGTGCTCAGTGAAAGATGAGATCATAACTGTTAAAATAATCATCACTGATAATCAATCCTAAATCAATATTTCCTTTCTCCTTTTCCTCTCTCTCTGCATCTCACTCCTTCATATCCCTAAACGTTCATGTCACTTCCTTTGCTGTGATATTACGTTGCCAGGCAACAGTCTTTTTTTGTCCGTTTCCAGCACTTCTCTGATACAAAGTGAGTGGATGACACCATCTGACCTACCCACAATCCCGTGCTGTGATTATTCTGCGAGTGGGTGGGTGTATTCACTCGATAGTTGTTGTTTTTTTTATCAGAGTAACTGAAAGAGGAAATACAAATAGATTTGTATTGTCATTATTCCATGTGTCATCACGATATGGTGAAAGATGACAGGAATGTGAATCACATCCAGAATAATCACAGCTGTAAAAATATCCTGACAAAATGTTAAAGTCTGGATAAATGTTTTTATTTACAGAATTAAGAAATAATATAGCAGTATTTGGTTTGTAAGAATGATACAATAAAGAATAAAAGTGATTGATCATAGAAGAGTTTTTTTTATAGATAGTGTTCTCCATAACTAGAGCCTCAGTAGACCATAAAACATCACAGCCAGAAATACACTTACTATTAACTTTATATAATATTTGTTATACTTTATTTACTTAGGAAGTCAACGTTACTTCTGCTGAATAACAGTCATTGTAGCCACATGTGACAATTACAGGATAATGTTTGAAAAGTTGAATAGAAAAGAGCCACAATAAGCTACTGGTCATACAAGAAAGAGTAACTCTTGAAATCAGTTTTACAATTTATTAATTCAACTTTTTGTTTGTATAAGAATAATTGTCTGACTTTTAAAACCTTTACTTGTGTATCTGTCCTTACAACTGCAGACGTGTATGAGGAAATGTCTCTGCGTTATCACATCTGTTGTCACCTCGGTTTGAGAAGACATCAAAGTTCAGCGGCCACATCACACACGCTGGTGTGTCGCTGTGCGATACACAGATGTTGTGTCACAAGCTTTTGCAACCGTGCACGTGTGACTCCCCTTCAGATGCACTCAGTATCCACTCCACCCTCCCCTAACTCTCTGTCTTTAAACACTGTCGCTGCCACAGATGGGACCCTCACCAGCTCCCGGTGTGGACCAGCTGCAGAGCAGGAACCGGCATAATCGGGGGATTGGGTGGGGTATTAAATCTGGGATTTGAACCCCCTGTGGCTCCGGCTTTTCAGCAAAAAATATATGCTTTTAGAGGACAAGGAGAGAGTGGCTGGTCAAATGACCTTGCACTTCTATGTCACACATATTTTTATATTTTATATACATTGTTTTTATATTCGGGATTGTGGGAAACAGTATTTCGATCTCTCTGTCCCTACACACAAACTGGAAGATTGACAATAAAGTTGACTTTGACTTTGATTACCATTAGATTAATTAATTTCCAGATTTTGTATTTTGTTCTTCCTTTAAATCGCAAAGAAAATCTTAGGAGTGAAATATTGAAACTCGACATGGAGTCTCTTTATGGCTTCCTCATATTTTAGATGTCTTGTGCTTCACACAGTTTCCCAAAATGTAGACTGAGTTTTTATATTGTTCGAATATTTATAACACTTTAAGAAAAGTAAAATAAAGTCCTGTCGGATTGAGGCTGTGGCTCAGTGGAATAGCGCGCTGATCTTCAGGAGAGAGCAAGTTCGAGTCCCACTGCAGTCAGCATGTCGTTGTGTCATTGGGCAAGACACAATACCCCAAATTGCTCTTGTGGGGATTGCCCACAGTACTGAATGTATGTAAGTCGCGTCTAACAAGTGACATGTAATATAATGTAACAATGTTTGAGAGCACAGCATCAGCCTGAAATGACGATATACTGTAGTTACAGTGAGGGCACAGACTCAACACACAGTAAAGATTGCTTGA